AGTGTCCTCTAGGGCCCAGTGGTTCAGCCTCCCCAATTACCTGAGGACACTCTTGGTGTACCCTTTTGTGGTCTTTGTGCACAGTCTTGTTGTAGTTAAGCCTTGATTGTTGTAGGTATCACTGTGAGGAATTGACCTCCAGGCCAATTGGCTGTGAGAATCAGCTGTGTCTGCAGTGGGAGAACTTCTGTGCTGGAGACACCCCTCTGGGGCAAGACTTGCTTCAATGGGGCTTTGGTGCTCACTGAGTCTGCCCCCTGAGTGTGTCCTTTATGGTTCCACGGAGCTGCAAACTGGATGGTCCCCCTCTGACCACTGGGTTTCCTGGCTCCTGGATCTCTAGGGAGGGGCTAATCTAGCCTTTGCCTGAGGCTATCCAGCAAAAGCCTCCCTGCAGGGCTTGGGCGGGGCAGGTCCCACGGGATCAACCGGGCGGGGCTAGCAGTTATGGCTGCTCTCAGTCCTGCCTTCAGAGGCTCTGCTTCTCAATGTCCTGGTAATCGCTGCAAGCCCCTTGGAGAGAAAGCTGCCCTTGAGTTCCGACTGATGCCAGACAGTCCTGCTTCTCCCGTATGAGTCTGGGTCCCTAGAGACTCGCCCGGAACTGGAGCTCAGAGCCTGAGACTCCCTCCCGATTGAAAACAACAACTGCGCCCTCAGCCGCCAGCCTCATGCACCTCCGCACCTGAGTATTTTACTTCAGCACTGCGCCTCCTCTGAGTCTCGGTATGCTTTTCTCTTTCCTTCTAGTTGTAGAATTTCCTCTGGTTCTGGATGATGTCCCTTCCGTCTTTTAGTTGTATTTTTGAAGCGGTTGTTCTCGGCAGCAAACTCCAGTGTTTACCTATGCCGCCATCTTGGTTTCTCTCTCCTGAGGCCACATTTACAGGCAACCCGAATTACCTTTGTCCCCCACACTTGGGAAAAGCCTGGGGTGGATAAAGCTTTGTTTTCTTTTCTCTGCACCATTTCACCTTTCAAAAGATTGTGTGACAAATTAAAGAAGTGGCAGGCATCCCTCGTCTGCCCACACCTCCATCACCTTGGCTGTCCCCAAGCATACAGCACTCTGGGGGTTTCTCTCGATTTGTCCGGAAAGCAGACTGAGTGAACGCAGTTCTGTTAGACAGAGTTGCCTTGGTCTCCTTGTCTATCTTGAGCTGGAATTCCTTTCCATGGCCAGAGTACTGGGCAGGCAGGACTCAAGCCACAACTACCATGAACCCCACCCTGCAAACTGACACTGGGGCTTGGCACTGTGCCCTGAAAGCCCATATCCATGACTTACGGTAACCCCACGTCAAACTTCCTCATTGTTTTCCTCCTCCCTGCCTGGGACCCTTCATAGGAAAGGGAGAAGAGAGATACCTACCCACTGGCAGGGCACCACTCAGGCCCCAGATGCGAGGTCCCTGTGAGACCCTACCCTTCTGTCTGGTCCTTGTTAGCATGCTGAATAAATGCACAGGCCCTGTGGCTTTTAAGGGCAGGCGTGGCTGAGCACACACAATCATGACTATTACAGGCCAGATGTCTAGAGCCACCACTGCCTTGCCCTTCTCCTAACTCAGACTCTCCTGGGCCCGATGGGCACCTCTTCTTTCCTGAACAGAGAGCTGAGAGATGAAAGCTGCCCCGGGGGCCAGAGTGGTGGCCTGATGGTGGACCAACACTGTCTTGGATCCTGACCTCACATTTTTACTGCATGGCTCAGATCCCCTCCAAGGTGGGGACTGTAAGAGCGCCAACCAGGAGGAGAACACAGGTGTTCCTGGAGGTGCTTGTTTAGCACGAATGACTCAGAACTCAAAGTCACAGTGGTGTATCTTCACAGGGGAGGGGCGTGTCTCCACAGTAGAGGGACCTTAAACATCTCATTTGGCAAAGGAAAGGTCAGTAAAGTCCATTGAATCAGAAACCAAGGAACTAATGGGACAGAGGGCACTCACAGCTCCATGTGCCGTCAGCCATGGAGAGGACGAGAAGGAGCCAGCCAACAGTGTGCCGAACCCAAGCACCCAGTTTCACTGAAATTTTTATTGAGTTTATTTGTGGGCTGCATGACAGGAAGTCCTTCCAGCGTTAGTAAGAATAAAAGGTCATTTTCACAGTCACTTTGGCACACACTCACATGGTCTCATTAAAAAAAACAAACACTGGAAAGCAACGACAATGAAACCTATATAATATGCCATAAATACATACAAAACACTAGTAAAATATCCCTGATAAACCAAAGTGCATGTAGACAGAGAGAACAATGCCCAGGAGTGTACGGCACCTTCCCAGAGTCACTCGTGTCACTCGCATGGCCTAGTCAAAGTTGGAAGTTAACAGTCGTGAGAATTAGTACACACCGAGTATTTACATAACAGTAATCAGTGCCAGGAGGCTGGTGTTGGTGGGGATGCTATTATATTCACAGGTGGACAGCGCTGGGGTGTGCAGTGGGGGTGGCGGCGGGAATGCTACACGGGTTACTTGAAGGGCCAAGAATGTTGCCCTCTGGAGTAAGGCAGAGCTGTGGGAGTGCCCACAAGGGCTCCAGCAACAGTCGTCACCACTGGCCAGTGGGTGTCCTTCCTACACAGGTGGCCTGAGAGTGCGTGGGTCCCTGCACAGGCCAAGGGGCACAGGGAGCCAGGCCACCTGATTAAGAAACCTTATTCTTGGCCAAAGATGGATAACTTAGACCACTTCCTGCTGGACCTGCCTCCTACCTGGATCACGTCCCCCTCTGAAGCTGGAGTTAGTAGCCAATTCTGTTACCTTTCAACTTTAAGGCATTTTCTACATAGTTTTGTCTAAGCAAAAAAGCAATAAAAATTGAGGTAATTCTGTAGTTGTTCACACTGGCAGGTGGCCGCATCCGCATCAGTCTCTCACTCTCTCATGCTCTCACCCCTGATGGGGCCATGTGTGCATGATAAGGAAAGGCCATTGGAGCTAATGGACCAAGAATGGGAGTGGCAGTGTGTCCCTATGTCCCACTGGAGGGACACATACCACGCCTCCTTCATTTGACCTGAACCTGCCTGAGGAGACAGGGCATGGGGGCAAGGGCTGTGTGAGTTGGACACAAAGGCCACAGGAAACAGGCCACAGTCACATGAGTCAAGAGGACACACTCAGCACAGGGTCAGCAGCAGCAGCAGCAGCAGCAGCAGAAGAGGCAGCCGGGAAGCCCCCAATATAACGCTGGACCCTTAGGGCCGGGCTACCCAGCATGGCAGCACAAACTGCAGACCTCGAGAGCCCCAGGCTCTGGGTGGTGGGTGCATTTGAAAGGGGATGGGCAGGCTTCCCCTTGACTTCCAACCTACAGCTCCAGCTTGGAGGGATGTGGCCCCACGAGGTGGTCACTAAGTGGTCACATTCTCACTTTGGCTGCTGGCCCTACCAGCACCATGACAGATCTTTGACCCTTTACAAGTCATCACCAACCAGGTCCCGGACCCCCCACAAGAGGCCAGTGCCAGGGCCTTGCCTCTGTAAGGCTGGCCCTCCCGGCCAGGTGGCCAGCAGCTCTGAAGGAGATGGTCGAGCTCAGAGGCCCAGGAGAAAACAGAGTCAACCGAGAGCACTCAGCAAGAGTCAGGGGAGTTTTCCATAGAAAGAGAGGAGGGGAGCCCACGGCAAGCTCCACAAGGCGCAGGGCATGCACTGGAGGGCAGAGGCAGAGTTATAAACGGGCCGGTTACTTGACGAAGACTTCTGGACCTGCGAGTCGGGGTCCGGTCGGGACAGCCACTGAACCACATAGCTCTTCTTAGAGGGGTCAGAGATGTTTCCTAGAGGGAAGAGAAAGGGACTGCGGCTGCTGGGGCACCAGCCAGGGCTTCCCAGCCCCCTGCTCCATAGACCCTGGCATCCTTGGGAAGGGCAATGAGGGCATTCAAGGCTCTCCCTTATAACAGATGGGCCTGTGTCTCTCTCCCCAACGCTTTGCATCCTGGTCTCAGCTATGGAGTAGCTATGGCACACAGGCGCTGCTGGCCTCCTGACCTGTGTACTGCTCCTTCACACCCAGTCCTGCTCCCCAGCTGAGCACAAACTGCCTGCTCCAGGAATGCAGGGACCCAGTGAATCGGGATCTACCACCTCTGCCCCCAGCTGGAGTGGGCACACCGGACCCCCCTGAGCTCCCTTCTCTGTAGACAGAACTTGTATGGGGTCTACATCTTGAGCTGTTTCAGGGACCAAAAGAGGTCACATGTCGAGCATTTGCCAATGTGTCTGTAAGTAGCCGGAATTCTGGTTATTGTTTGTGCAAGGTACAGGGCATTTGTCTTGTTGAGCCCTGCTGTGTGGTCACTGTGAGTCTGGTTCTATTTCCCAGACCAACAGGGAGTGTCAGGAAGGCAGGGTGGGCTGAGTCCGTTCCATCCTTCATCAGGGCCTGGCCTGGCCTGAAGATGAGCTGTTCCTTATATTGCCCACTATGGAAAGGGCCCAGCCCTAGCTTGGGAGGCCTCAACTTCTATTTTAAGGTCAGGGACGCTGAGTACAGGCCACTTGTGGGAAGAGCATTTGCCTGGACCAACCCCCTGGCCTTGGGGCTTGCACACTGGGGCCCAGGGAACAGGGCAACAGAGGGCTTACTTGGGCAGGGGCCCAGCCTGCAGGTCCTTGCTGTCTCAGGTCGCTCCTCCCGGCAGATCCCAAAGCTGTCATCCGTTGTCCGGCAGAGTACTGGCCGCTCCTGGGTGCCATTGCCACAGGTCACAGAGCACTGTAGGTGGAGAGTCACCAGTCAGGGGCCACCTCCCATGCTGCGGCCCGGAAGAGCCCCTCACGCATGTGACCCCATAACTCGTTTGAGGTGGTGAGGGGCAGCGGGAGAGTGTGGACTAGAGACTGGCTCGGTCTCACCCCAGCCTCGGGTGGCTGCCTCAGTCTTGTTGGGCTCGTAAGAGGGGGCACACATACTTATGTCTCAAGTTATTGTGAGTTAAAGAGAGCGACTATGCAGGGCCTGGCATTTCTGAATGCTCTGGCTATGGGATACCCAAGACCCAGAAAAACCTGCTATGCACTGGAGACCACTGGGAAAGCTCTGAGTCCCGGAGGTTTTGGCAGAGGATCATCCCCCTGACCTTTCTCTCCCCAGGCTCCCCCAGCTCTATACTACCAGCACCCTCAATGGCCCCTCCAGCCCCTGTCCCCCTCTGCCTTCTCCATGGGGAGGGGCTAGCAGGAGCAATCACATCCAGCCTCCTGGCTCAGCTCACAGCTGGCCCAGCCGTGAGCAAGGATAATTCTCAAGTCCTTGCCCTGTGTGTGAGAAAGGGTTGACTCAGCAGACACGGTTGCTTAAACCCTACACAGTCCTAAGAAAGGCCATTTGCAGGACTGGCCCATGGGCAGCTCCAGGGAACCAAGTCCATGGAATGCTCTGTCTGGTGAGTGTTTTTCATGCCTGAAGCCTTGAGTTGCACTGCACCAACAATGTGATTTCTGCTGAGCACCCACTTTCCTGCTGGGGTCTAGAGCTTCGGTAACTGATACCATCACACACAGAGGCACCGTTTGCCTATGTGACTACTCCCTAGTGAAAACCCTGGGCACCCAGGCTTGGGTGGGTTGCCTGATTGGCAGTACTTCGTGTGTGTTGCTGCATGTCACTGCTGAGAGAATTAGGTGCATCCGTGGTGAATCCACTGGAAGGAACACCTGGAGGCATGTACTGGTTTCCTCTGGCTTTGGCCATCCCTTCTTCCCTTCCCGAATTGTGCTCTGAGCATTCCTTGTAATAACCCATAACCATGAGTGCACCAACCTCTGAGTCCTGTGATCCTCCTTGTGAATTATGGACCCTGAGGCTGATCTTGGCTGAGAGCTGGAGGTCAGTGCTTACATCAGCTCTGCCCTCAGAACTGCTCCTCAGTCCCCAAGACCATCCTTTTTACTCTTTGCAGCCCAAGTCTAAGCCCTCCTTGGTTTGTGTCCCCTCCTTCCAGCTTAGCTGACCTTCTAGACCACACATCCACCTTCAGAGATAAGAACCTGGAGCCCAGGCTGCCCTCAGCCTCCTGGGAGCCCAGGCTGTGAAGACACACATTCCACTGGGTTTCTGAACAGAGCACTGATTACATGGCACCACTGGTACCCTGAGACCTATGGGATGTGGCCCAGGGCATGAACTGAGTCCAGACAAAGGTGGGATGCCCCAGCCACCTCAGTCCTGCCCAAGCTTGATTTGGGAATTGAGAACACAGGACAGGGCCAGGAGACCTACTTACCTGGGACCAGGGTCCGGCCCGCCACTGTCCAGGACAGAGCTCACGATTGCAGGCCCGGCGGCCCTCGGGCCGTGCATCATTGCAGTGCTTGGTGTGCACGGTGCGAGTGGTGTTGTTGTGCAGTGGCTGAATGCAGCGCACGGAGCGAACCTGCGTGCCTGTCCGCCCACAGCTCTGACTGCACGGCTCCCATTCGCCCATGACCCATCTGCGAGGGAGAGTGGCACATGGTCAGTCCCCTGTGGCCATGGTGGATAGAGGGAAGGCCTCCTGCTCTCTGAGGCACAAAGGTGCCCCATAAGTTTGCTGCACCCTTGCCCGAGGTCTCGCAAATAATGAGCCCTACACATGTCCACTGATGGGAGCCCTGGTGCGGGTGGCCATGGATAGCCCAGGCCTGAAGGACCCTGTCAGCCTTTGTCCCTTCTGTGACTCTGTCTCTGCCCTTTGACTTCAGCTTCTGCTGACATCACTGACTCTTCTGGAAGCAGTATCAAGGCCCTTAGCACCCAACCCCACATGCCCTCACCTAGTACCAACTGTCTTCCCTGCTCAGGACCCAGCTATGAAGCCCTGCCAGACCCTGGGCCTGGAGGTCAAGGATGCAACCACTGCTATGGGCTGTCTTGGAAACATCTCCCACAGGATCAGAAGCTAGCCCTATACCCTGAGCCTGTTTCCCCCACCTGAGCATTACCACTTGCCATCTCTAAGACGCACAGTAGTGTTTTAGCTTTGCAAGTCTGAAGCAGGTGCAGCCTCTTAGACTCCACAAAACATGGTGAGTGACAATGAACCCATACACATCTCAGGAAATATGAGGTCCAGACCACCCCCCCCCCCCCCCGGGGGAGCGCCTTTTCCCCCCCCCCCCCCCCCCGTGGACACAGATCCCATACCTCCCTCCACTGCAGCCCAGGGGGGCGGGGGAAGAGAGTTGGGGGGATCTGTCCTCTACTCCCTCTAGTGGGACCCAGAGACTGCAGCCAGGGAGTTGGGCAACCCCAGGCACTCACACGGGCTGGGAGCACTCCTGTGGGTTGCAAGCCCGGCGGATGGCTTTGGGCTTCGGGAGGGCGTCACAGAAACTGCGGTGCACCATCTTGAGGTCCAGCCTCCGGCGGCAGCCATACTTGGTGAACTGGGACCCTGAAGATGAGAGCTCGAGGAGGCTCAATGGGGCAGTGTGGCCCCTCTATGGGGTGCAAAGGGGCAGATTCACCTGCAGCTTCAGCTGTTCTTCCCAACTTTCTGACGGGGTGGGGTAGTGTGCCTGAGCCAGGCCTTGGAGATGTCTAGCCTGGTGTCCTCCCAGCACCCTAGGCGTGGTCGGCAAATGGCAGCTTGTGAGCCACATGTGGCTTTTTGGCCCCTTGAGTGTGGCTCTTCCTAAGCCTTAGGAGTACCCTAATTAAGTTAATAACAATGTACCTACCTATATAGTTTAAGTTTAAAAAATTTGGCTCTCAAAAGAAATTTCAATCGTTGTACCGTTGATATTTGGCTCTGTTGACTAATGAGTTTGCCGACCACTGCCCTTGGGCAAGTGAGGGTGAGAGGCCTGGGAGAACGACCACCTTCTCCCTGGCCCCTTGGCTATCCTGGGACAAGAGAGAAGGATTCATTTCCTCTCCCGTTGCTTAGCCATTTGCTCCACATTAAATTAATATGCACCGAGGACCTGGCATGACCCAGGAGTTGGCTAAACATGGGAACATGTCCTATGAGTCTCCTCCCACCACAGTCTAGTGCAGCAGTTCTCAAATGGGGCTGGTTTTGCACATGAGGACATCTGGAAATATCTGGAATACTTAGTTGTTACAGCTGGGGGAGTGTTGCTCAACATCCTACAATGCATAGGACAGCCCTCACAATAAAGAATTATAGAGACAGGTATCAGCAGTGCCACGGTCACAGAACCCCAGCTTAGTGGGCAAGACATGAGGGAATATGGTGGGGCAGCCTGATCCAGTCTTTTGGCATCTGAGGGCATCTGAATGCATCACAGGAAGTAGAGGAGGAAGGAAGGGGAGGGGCTCCCAGGGGAGGAGACAGCCTGTGCAAAGGGCCTGAGGCAGGAGCATGGCATGTCCAGGAGAAGCATCTAAAGCCAGGGTGAGCAGTGGAGAGGTTTGCAAGCTGCCTGGACCTCAGGGGCCATGAGGAGAATTGTTTTTTATCCTCAGAGCAGAGGGAGCTGCTGAAGGCTATGACACTAGGAGAGACATGGTCTGATCTGCCTCTTTAATAGGTTACTCTGGGGGCGAGTGAACACACAGGGCCAGGGAGGGAGCGAGGGGGTGCCAGGGCTTGGAAGATGGGAATAGCAGATGGGTCTGAGAGATATGTAGAAGCAAGAATCAACAGGACACGCAGAGGAAATCCACAGGGGTTGGGGAGGCTGGGGACACTATTACCCAGGTGGAAGCACTGGGAAGAGAAACCTTTTATCTGTCAGTGCCAGAGAGTGGGTGATGAGCCCCTCAGCAAACACCCTTTTGGCATCTGAGGGCAATCTGTCCTGGCCCTGCTTCTGCAGGCTGAGCTGTCATCTCTTGCTTCTGATATTGTTCACCCTCCCAGAAACATTGACCACTCTGGGCAAATCAGAACTTCCTGTATGCCTGCATGTCCTACCCAACTGTGGGCTCCTTGAGGTATGGGGCAGGAGGGACTCCTCTGCACCCAGCACTGCTGGGGAAGGTCTGGGAGGCTTTTCTGAATGAACACAGGGAGAGACCCCTGCAGAGGGGCCTTTCTACCTATCTCCAGCACAGCCTACATCTTCCCTGTGCCCTGCCTCGTGATGCCATAATAGCCCATCCAACCCACTCTCACAACAACTCCCGCCAGGCCAGCTTCTGCCTCCCGCACTGATTTAGGTTCATGTTGGCATCGACCAGACCCCACACATGCCCTCTGGCTGCTTTAGGCCTGCTGCCCTGAACACCTCCCTCCTTTTCACCCTCTGCTCCATCCCAGGCAGAGCTAGGCCCTTGTCACCCAGACACAGATCACTGCCTCAACCTCCTTGGGACCCGTCTTCTCATGCCTGGCACATGCCTCTGGCCGGGCAGTCAGCAGGGCACTGGGGGCTCCAGAAGCCCCTCCCCTAGAAGACCCTTCTTATTCAGGCCCCGGCTTTCTCGGGGCCCCACCCTGAGAAGCCTCTCACCTCCACCGCAGGGCTTGGAGCACAGGGACCACTTCTTCAGGGCCCACTCGTAGCCCACGGAGTCCTCTTCCAGGACCTGGTTGTCATCCACATTGAGCGAGTCCTCATGGATCATGTACTTGTACGTCAGCGAGATCCGGGTGTCTCCCTGCGGGATGACCTGTGCCCCCACACGGCCATGAATGTGTCTGCCCAACTCTCCACCTCCTCGAAGCCAGTTTAGAAATGTCAGTCGAGGTAACTTATAGCCCAGTCTTGGTATTCGCTGTAGGTCATTATGTTCTACAAAGTCCCCAACACTGAACCACTGCTCGCAGGGAGTTAGGGTCCTGCGAGATTCTGGCCATGGCATTCTCATCTACTGTCAACATGTAACCTTATATTTTACACGTTTTCTATTTAAGGACCCGTACTTAATATAAGTTGCTAATTCCCTGACTCTGGGCCAGCGCCCTGTAATGCAGGCCTGCAAGAAGCTCCCCGACGCTGCATGGGCTCCATGGGGCACCCCACAGCTGCTCACCTTGGGGAACTGCATAGAGCCCTTCAGCACTATGCCTGGGGCCATTTTAAACAGTGAAATCATCCCATTAAAGCACAAAAATGTGAAAAATGTGGCACTAAATACACTGTGAGAAGGACACTGGTTTATAGTAGGAGCTAAAACAAGAAGCAGGGTGTCACCTGGCTCCCCCTCAGCTGGAACATGCATGTCACTGCTCTGCATTTGTCTGTAAATGGCTGTGGAAATCACGCTGAGTTTTTATTTGGGGATTACAGATACATTTTAGCAAGTAGGTGAATTTACCAACGCAGAAACTGCAGGTCCCGAGGCCTGCCTGCATCTGCACTGGCAGGAGGGTCCCCAACAGCATCTGGGGGTGAAAGTCCCTGCAGGGGAAGCAATCAGAGGGCATGCCCAGGGATGAGGTGCTGGGGTCTGGGTACCTACCCCCTACCACAGTGAACTCAGCTTTATCTGTAGTGGTTTTATTTTTTTTTTACAGATAAAATATAATCCTATCTAATAAAAGAGAAACATGGTAATTAGCCGTACATCCGCTACCCTTCCCATTGGCTAATCAGGGCGATATGCAAATTAACTGCCAGCCAAGATGGCGGCCGACAGCCAGGCAGCTTGAAGCGAACATGAGGCTTGCTTGCTTCAGTGACGGAGGAAGCCA